ACCAGCGCTCAGGCTCCCTGGATAAGCACGACCATGTGTACCCACACCACAACACAGCCGAGCCCCCCACCCCCAGCCAGCACCACGTACCGTGGGGTCCTGGGCGGGCACATCACAGGGGTCGTCGCTCCTCTCGCAGGGCTGGCTGGCACAGCGGGTGCCCGAGGGAGGCAGGCTGGCCTGAGAGGGGCCGAGGTGGCCGGCAGAGAGGCTGCCGTGGTTGCTTTTCCTCCCGTAGCTCTCCAGGTACCCACGGACGTAGTCGGAGTGGGTGGCAGCCTGGTAGAGCCCCTGCAGGGCGCCGGGCTCCTGGCGGGCGCGGGCGGGCGCGTAGGCGCTGTCCGAGGTGTGCAGCCCCGAGAACTCCCGCGCCAGGTCTGAGTGGCTGATGGATTTGTGGCGGCTCAGGGGCGCTGCGGCGGGCAGGTAGCCCGTGGGGCTGGTGGGGGTCCCCGCGAAGGAGTAGCAGCCCCCCCCGCTCAGCCCCCCGCCGGGCGGCCGGGGCTGGGCGCGGATGTAGGAGGGGCTCAGGCGGATGCTGGGGTCGGGGTACAGGGGCAGCCTGTCATAGGCGCCGGTCGGGGACAGCCCCGCGCTGTGGTAGCGGGGGGAGCCCAGGTAGCTGGCTTTGAAGCCGATTTTGTCGCTGTCCGCGTAGGACAGGCTGGATCCATAGGAGCTGTAGGAGCTGTACCCGCTGGGAGCTTTGCTGTAGGTGGTCTCGGCGTAGCGGGAGGAGTCCACGTAGCGCTTCAGGGTGGAGGAGAGCTGGGACATGCTGCAGGCTGGGGCTCAGAGGGCTCTCCTGGAGGCATCGACTGCAAGGGAAGAGCCTAGGGGTCAGCTTTCACAGGTCAGCACAGTGGGGCACCCACCACCACCACCCACCCAGCAGCCCGCTGTCCTGGAACACCCTGGGAGAGGTGTGCAGGCGATAGGGAATCCAGGGGATGAGGGGCCGTGGTTCCTGCCACCTGTCAGCGTTCCTGAAGAGCCTGGGGCAGCAGGACTCAGCTGGCACTGCCACCCATGTGCCTTCAGGCATCTCACACCACAGAAGGGAGCCCCAGGGCACAGCCAGGGCACCCAGCTTTCCAGGACCCACAGACACCCAAGCCAAGGGACTGCAGCAGTCATGCCTGCCCCAGCCCTGGCATCCCTGACACGCTGTCCCATGGCTGGAGAGGTGTCCCCAGTGCCTCCTCCAGATGGGAGGCGGTTGCCTGGTCACAATCACGTTGCTTAGGCCCAGCTCTACCCGAGAGAGGCAGGTGGGATGGACTGATCCAGCCAGCCCAGCACCTTCCCCGGGCTATTCAGAGTGAGGGCTGGGGCTTGGCAGGGGGCTGGCATTTCAACAAACTGAAAGGGAAACTGAGGCAAGGCCAGGACCCGAGCAGCCTGCCCATCTCCCTGCCACCGCTGTGCCCCGTGAGCCTCCCATGAGTAATTCAAGACGAGTCTTCCTGTTGAGGTGATGTCTGTGCCCCCACCCTCCAGGCAAAGCCAGGCTTTAAGGGCGGGCAACACCCCAGCACTCGTTCCACACAGAGAGCAGAGGGCTTCTGCCCCGTGGCACCCGCACAGGACAGGAGAGGAGCACACAGGGGACAGGGACAAAGGCACCCAGAGGCAGCCCGGAGCAGGGACAGGGCAGTGTGGCAGCCAGCAGCCTCCAGCGTCTGCAAACACGGGCTGCGTGGAGCCAGAGGAAAGTTTTCCCTCAGCACCCACGCCGAGGCTGGTTCCCTACCTGTCCTGGGGCTGTGGGTGGCACCGGGGCAGGCAGGACCCCAGCCGAGCTCCTCTGTCCTGGCGGTGCTGGCGCTCAGCTCCCCCTGTGCCTGGTGTCCCTTCCCTGGCAGGACAGTGGCTCATGTGGCTCCGAGAGTCTCCAGTCACCCGGGAGATGACCCTGATTCACAGGCTTTTCCCAGCCCAGCCGGGGCGGGCTCTGGCCTGGCTCCAAGCTGGGAGGTGACAGAGCCTGTGCCTGGCCCGTCCCTCACATGGTCCCGGCAGCACACAGGGGGCATCCAGGGTTGGGGATGGGCACTGGATCCCAGCTTGTCACTCCCTGGCTGATCCTGGGGGAGCCCAGCCTCCTGCTCACAGCCCCAGGGTCCGACCCCAGTGTGGAAACACCCTGGAATTACTTTTAGGAGAGGGTGGTGAGAAGCACTCATGGGCTCCTGGCAGACAGCCCCGGGCTTTCCAGCATCCCAGGTGCTGTTGTTATTGCCCAGGGAACAACCACATCCCACAGTGGAGAGGGAAATATTTACAAGCAGGAGCAAGGTGGAGCACACAGACCTGTTTGGGAACAGAGGCTGGAGGGTGAATAACCTGCTCCCAGGCAGGGACTCCACGAAACACCCGGCTCTCCCCAGCCAGGCTGCCGCTGCTCTCACCAGGAGTGAGGGCCCAGGAGAGGCTCTGCCAGTCAGGATTTGACATGGGCAGTGAGGGAATCTTGCTTGGAGGGATGTGGGACCCCAGCCAAGGGACTGGCACTCCCTGCAAGTGCCAGAATGAGCGTGGCAGAGCCCCTCGGCTCCGTGTGCTCGTGCCTGGCTGCCTGCCCTGCTGGGGCATGGGGCAGCCTGGCACAGGACCCTGTCTGGGCTATCCCTGATCCTTGTCCCCCTCGCCAGCAGAGATGATCTGAGTGCTGGGACAGCCCCATGCCATCGCCCACTGCCAGCAGTGCCCGTGCTCTCTGACAGAACCTTGTGCCATCACCCACTGCCAGTGCTGCTCGTGATCTCCCACTGTGCCGTGCCAACACTGATGCTGGCAGCATCAGGAGAGCCTCCAGTTTGGAAGCAGGAGGGCAGCAGGTGCTCTCTGGCAGCAGGACAGGTTTCCACAGGGCAGCAGGTGCCTGGGAATGCGGGGGAGCTGATGGAGGGATGGGGGGGCCCAGGAGCAGGAGCCAGCTCCAGACACGGCAGCTACCCCATCTCTTGGGAAGAGAGGTCTTACCATGGAGGAATGTCACATCTGCTAGGACTGCCTGTGCTGCCGAGTCCCCACGTCACATCCAAGTGTATCCCAGGGCAGAGGGAGAGCGGAGTGTGCCAGGAGCCACAGGAGCTGACTGGGGTGTGAGAAAACCTCGGGTCCTCCCAGTGTTTCCTGGGCTCCTGGCCCCTCCCTGCCTGTCATAGTGCTGAGCTTTCCTGCTGCCTGGCAAAGCCCTGGGGCTGGCAGGGCTGAGTCAGCTCTCCTGCTCCCTCATCATCCTCCCGAGGTGTCAGGCGAAGCTGAGGCACAGGAATGTCCGGTCTGCGCTCACGAGGCCAGGCAGGAGCCAGCACCAGGACATGGCAGCAGGACACCCTGGGACTGCTTGGAATGCTGGGAAGTCCTGCCCTGGCCTCCAGCTCCACCAGCCTTCCCAATGGGAAGCTCAGCTCAGAGAGGGAAGGCAAACCCTTCACTCTGGAGGCAGAGGATCAGGGACCCTGCTCTGTCCCCAGCTGCTGCCCTGCCCATGCCTGGTGGCAGCTGCCCTCTCTCTCCTCCTGCCCGTGCCCGGTGGCAGCTGTCCCCTCTGTCCTGCCTGTGTCCAGTGGCCGCTGTCCCCCTCGGTGGCCACAGAGCCCCAGAGCGGGCTCAGCTCAGCTTACACAGCGCTGGCTTCATCCAAGGTGTCACAGCTCAGCTGCTTCTCACTTACACAGGCTTGGAGCTGTGTCCCCTGTCCCCTGAGACACAATGTCCCAGCCCTGGAGGTGACGTGGCAGCTCCCAGCAGAGGCAGAGGTGGGACCCTGTGTGAGGTACTTTGTGTGCTCCAGTGCACACGTTTGGGGTGGAGGGGCTCTGTGTCCAGCTGAGAGTGCCAGAGGGGTGGGACAGCCTCCTGCACATTCCCTGAAGGGCACAAGGCAAGGGATCCCTCTGGGATTCCATCTCCCTCTGGGAAAGTGGCCCCGAGAAGCCCTGGGGAGAATGTGCCACAAAATGTTTGCTCCCTACAAGGAGCTGGAGCCATCCTGTCAACAGATGGAGACCCCAGTGCTCTTTACCTGTGCCCCCCCACCACTCCCACCCCCCAGAACAATGGGCACTGCCCAAGGTGGCTCAGGCAGCTGAGGCCAGCCTGGCCAGGGCCCTTCCCCTACCAACCCTGGGCCTGAGAACCCTCCAAACTCACACCACATGTGCTGGCCGGGAGTCACCGCCCCGGACTCGCTGGGTGCTGCTGACACATCCCCACCCAGCTGCACGACCTGCTGCTCACCCCTCCCGGGCCACCCCCCGGGCAGCAAAACCCCAAACCCACGGGGAACCCACGGGGAACCCTGACGTAAGACCCAGGGCATGATGTGTTATTGCTTTGAGGTCTGTGGGTGCAAGGAAAAAAAGAAGGGACCCTCGGGCAAGTGGCTCTGCCCACGCCGGGGGGACGAGGAGGCTGCCGGGGAACTGCCAAGTTTTTGTGTATGAACTCTGAACCTGGAGGGAAACCTCTCCCCTGCGGTTTTATGCAGATGGAGGAAGAGGGGAGGCAGTTTTGTCTGTCTCTGGGTCCCCCTCCCCAGGGTTGTGTCCCCTCCACCTCCTCCACTCACCTGCGTGTGGGGTGGGCGGCCGATGGCTGGTCAGGGGGACGAACATCCAGGCATGAGGTGATGCCCACGGGGCTGATCCTGCCTCCTTTGGGATCTTCCCCTGGTCCCAGAGATGGGAGACGTGGAGATGGGCAGCAGCAGAGCCCTTTGGAGGGGACAGGGCACCCCCAGCTCAGCCCCTCTACCCTGGGAGCGAGCGCGGTGGCTGGAGGGGGCCGAGCCCGAGGGCTGTGGGGCCACACGTAAAAAAAAACGCCACCACAGAAATTCAGGGCTCAGGTTACCGGCCAGATAAATATAGTGTCTTTATCTGACCTCACAGGGCGCTGAAATGCTCCTCTCGCATTCCAGCCTGGGGAGGCTTAAAGGGGACGTGAACCCGAGGTGGGCTGGTGGCTCACGGCAAGGGGGTGCCGGGAGGGGAGAGGCTGCGGGGGCCGCGGGGGCTGTGGGAATGAAGGAGGATGACCCAGGGTAAGTGTGGGGAAGGGAGGGATTTGGAGAGGGAGATGGAGGTCCGAGAAGGAAAGGATAGATGAAGGGTTAAGAGAGGGAGCGGGGTGGGACACAGCTTGGTGTGGAGGCAGAAGAAAGGGGTGTCCATGGCTGCCAGTAAGGTCTGGAGCAGAGCACGAGGGTGAGGGGATGGGTTGGTCTGGGTTTTGCCCCTCTTGGCCCAAGCCAGAGGTGGAAGAGCCCGCTAAGGCTGCCGCAAAGGTGGGCACGGGGCAGGTGGAGTGGCACGGCCATTCCTCACGGATCCGGAGGGACACAGGGACACCCGCCCGGCACCGCTCCCCGACGCCCGACCCGCCCAGGGAACGGTGGCACCTGCCCGGCCGTGACTCAGCGAGCACCTGCCGCGGCTAATGAGGAGGGACCTAATTACGGTGGCATCTCCCGCCCGGCTCCAGCCCTCAAACAGGGAGGGACACGCGAGGGACGCGTCCGGGCGTCACTCTGGGAGGCTGCGCCGGGTCACCAATGGTGTTAGGGGGTGGTGGCTGCTCCCAAACCATGGGCGAGCGTGTCCCACGGTGCCAGGGTGGCATTGTGACCCTGGGCAAGGAGCAGTGGCTGCTCTGGCTGCTCCAGAGGACACGGGATCCCTCGGCAGCCCCACAGGCAGCGTGTGGGCACAGGGGCACAGGCAGGACACCGGCGTGACAGGCACAGGATTTTTGGGACCCGTGCACACCAAGCCCTGCTCCCATGCGTGCTCCCAGCCTGGCAATTCCCACCCCAGAGGATGGATAGGTCAGGAATAGACCTGGAGTCCCCTACTTTGCCTCCCTGCCGGCACAATGGGCAGAGGGGGAGGACCCCTGGGATGGAGCTGGGGAGATAGGGACAGGTATGGGAATGGGGGAAAGGGGTCTGCGCTCAGGGGTCTGTGCAGGAGAGGGTCACCCTCCCCAGGAGGGGCAAGTCTTGCTCCCCTGCCTGCTTCTCTCCCACAGGGATTGGAGTGCTGGAAGCCTGGGGGAGGCACACTGGGGTCTGTACCCCTCATCCAGGGTGCTGAGGGCACAGGCTGTCCCTGCCCTCTGTACAGGCTGGAGCCCAGCCCCACCACAGCCCCTCATCCCACCACCTCACACACAGGTGCCCGTGGCTCCAACACACAACCTAAGGAAGGGTTTTATTGTGCAGACAGAGAGGAACACTCCCGCATGATACTCGTTTTCTTTTCGTTGTTGCTTTTCGTAAGGGTTCTTTTTTTTTTTCCTTTTCTTCTCCTTTTTTTTTTTTTTGTTTTGTTTTTATCATCATCCCTTTAACAGAATTATTTCTCTGACGACAAAGCTGTGGAAACAACTACAAATGTTCACCAAAAAATGAAGAGACTCGAGACGCGTCCGCGCTCTGCCGCTGGGCCCTGTGCCCGCCCCGGCGCTCACCAGCACGCCCAGGGAGCTGGGCACAGCCAGCCCTCAGCTATACACGGCCTCAGCAGCACTAGACAGCAAGCAAGCAGGCAGGGACGGGCTGGGAAGGGGGCACGGGGGCACGAGGCAGCTGGAGAGGAGCAGGGAGTGGGGCAGCGGCTGCTGTGGATTGCTCTACGCCGCGGTGGCACAGCCCGGGCTGCACAAGCAGCTCAGCAGCGCTGGGGTTCACCCCCGGGGGTGTGGGTGCTCCTGCCTGAGCCTTCCCCTCCCTGTGCTCTCCCCCAGGAGGTTCCTTGGGGTCCCCGTGGGCGTCGGGGCAGACCTGGGCTGGTGGATGTGGGCTGTGCTGGGATTCCCTCTCCCCGCTCTCGCCAACCCCTGGGATCATCCCGGCCTCACTGAGGTGGTGGGCAAGAGCTGGGCTGCACCTAGGTCCTTTTTCTGCTCTTAAATGGAGACAGGGAAACGCTGGAAGGGAGGAGGGAGGAGGCACGTGGGACTGGAAGACTGCTGACCCTACCCGTGGGGAAGGATTGGGACCCCAAGTTGTTCCCTTGGGAAGACACTGAGTCCCTGCAGAGACCTTGGGGTCACACTCCCAAAGGGGAGCCCCCTCCCCAGCAGCCTGGGTGCAGCTCTGGGAGCCCTGGGGAGGGCAGTGGGGGCGAGGGCAGGGCTGTGTCTAGCTCAGAGAGGCTCTGCTTGCCTCCACTGCGAGCGGGTGCTGGCAGCAACTCTCTCGTCACAGCTAAGGGCTGGTCCCCGGGGAGAGCAAGTGGTGGCTCTGGCTCGGGCAGCCCAAAGGTACCAGATGGTGTCTGGAGGAGGCCTCGCTTCCAGCTCAGCTGTAAGAGACAGATTAGGAAAAACTTGTTGCCAGAGCACATTTGCAGTGAACCCGCTCCCAGGGCCCCAGAGGAACCCTGAGGAGGCAGGGGGGACTTTCACAGGTGTCTCCTAGACCTGCTCCCTTTTCTCCTCCCAGCCTGGCCAGGCCCTGCATCCCATGGCTGCCCCTCTCTCCTCCTCCCTGCTGGCTCCGAGACAGGATTCTCCTCGTGCCCACTCCCAGCCGTGGCATTTCGGGGTGACTCAGGGCGAGGAGCAGGATGAGGAATCAGTCACCTGGCTGGCGGGCAGGGCAGGTGGGGACACCGACAGCCCCCTCAGCTCCGGGGGCTGCGGGCACAGCACCAACCACGGGGACCCTCCGCATGCTCTCGCACCACCCCTCCCTCTCTTACCTGCCAATCCGGTGGAGAAGGGGCAAACCCCAAAAGTTAAAGGAGGGACGGGACAAGCGAGGCTGAGGCTCCAGCGCTCCCAGCACGAGCAAAACCAGCCAGCCTGGCGGAGCGGGGAGGGCACGATGGGAGAAGCAGCGCTGCCTTAGCAGAGCCCGCCATGCTTCGGAGCGGGGCACTGTGCGCGTGGGATGGCGGGGCAGTGGGGAGCGTTAGATATACGGCTATATAGAGATAACACAGAGAGCTTTCACGGCTTCCAGACGGGTCGGCTTCTCTTTTTTTTTCCCGAGGGCTGCGGCCTGGCGGGGGAGGCGGGTTGGCTGGGGGGGCTCGGTGTGTGTGTGTGTGGGTGTGTGCGCGTGCCTGGGCGGGTGTGTGTGCGCGCGTGGGGCTTCCCCTCTCACAGGGACACGAAGTCCACGGCTTGCAGGAGAGGCAGGGAGAGGAGGAGCAGCAGGAGCCACGAGGTGTTCTGGATCAAGAGGCTGAAGCCGGCGCATTTCTCCAGTTTGTCTGGGGAGGGAGAGAAGAGCCGCAGTGAAATCCTTCGGGAACAGGGTGTTATGATGGTGCTGGGGCACAGCTTCTCGCCTTTTCTCTGCCACAGAAATGCAGGCCCCTTGCCTGTTTCCCTCCCACCACGTAGCAGCAAGGATTTTGGGGACCCTGGGAGGCATAACCCTGCCTGTGCCTGGCTGAGGTGACAAGGGGGTGGGCACCAGGTGAAACGAAGGGCTCTGCAGCTGGAGGGCTGCTCCTGTGGGACATAGGTGTGGAAAATCCCCACTGTGATCTCTATGAAAGGACACCTGGGTGATGTGCCCGAAGTGGGACCCAAGAGAGGCAGGAAAAGCAGTCTGAGATGGGGCAGAGTGAGCCCGTCTGTGGGGGTGCAGTAGGAAGGGCTGGGAAACCTTTATGGGGGTCGGGGAGGGTTTGAGTGTTGTGTTTTTCTGCTGGCCCTGCCAAGCCAAGGAGGGGGTGGGAAGGAGAGGCTGAATGACGAGCAGGTTCCACTGCCCCCCTCACCTTTGATGACGGTGATGTTCCGTATCTGGTTGCCGGTGTAGTCGTTGGTGGCCCTCAGCTCGCACATGTAGACGCCCTCGTCGCTGGTGGTGAAGCTCTGCAGGTGGAGGCACACCAGGTTCTTGTGCATGGTGACGTTGGCCCGGCTCCGGTAGATGTTCTCCGAGACGCTGATGGTGCTGTGGATGACGTGCTTCCTGTTGTCCTTGGTGATGCTGAACTCGTAGGTCAGGGGGTTGCTGGTTTTGTTCTCGTAGCGACAGTCCACGCGCAGGTTCTGGCCCAGCAGGCAGGCACTCAGGTCCTTGATCATCTGACAGTGGGCAGCCTGGAGGACTGGGAGAGAGGCAGGAGGGAGCTGGACGGGGAACAGCGAGCTCTGGGGGTGCCCATGCAGCCTCCAGGCCCTGGCCTGGCTGCTCTGGGCTGGGGGAGCAGGGAGGGGTGTGCTCTGCCAGCTGTACCTGTCAGGATGACGGCGATGCCGACGGTGGGGTTCATCTTGTTGTCTCTGAGGTGCCCCCCGGGGGCTGTCTCTGAGAGGGGAGCCTGGGCAAGGGGAGAGAGAGGCAGTTAGCCAGGCCCTGGCCCTGGCACACAGATGTGGGCACTCTCTGGTGGCAGGAATGTGCAGGAATGTGCCCTTCTTGCACTAGTGATGCTCCACAGCCTGCTCCCTCCTCATCACGGCGTCTGGTTCACTGCACAGAGACTGGCTGGCACTGCAGTGAGCTGGGGAACCAGGCACTGTGTGTCTGCCCAGCATCACCTTTCCACATCCTCAGGCAATGCTGCCCCATCCACTCTCTCTTTTCCCTGCCTGGATCCCCCCAGCAGACATCAAATGCATGTGGCACAGACCTGCAGCGAGGCCTGCCTGTGCTGCCTTCCCCCCCTTCTGCCCCGTGCCCAGCCAAGGTTTGAGCAGGAGAACTGACGATGCCCCTGGAGCCCTCACACCTTGTCCAGAGGTCTGTGGCTCACGGGGAGGGGGTTTCCAGGTGAAGGACCCTCTCCAGGCACCGGCAGGCGCCCGCTCTGCCAGCCCCCCCCCCCGTGGCTCCAGCGGGTGAGCTCAGCAAGGATGAGTCACTGCGATGCAGTGGAGGGAAAGGGGCCAAGAGCAGCGAGAAGGAGGGACACAGCAGCTGGACAGGGAGCCAAGACCACTGAAGGATGGCACTGAGCCCCCAGGAGCTGCGCTGAGCCTGCCCAGCCACGGGCAGGGAGGGTTTTGTGTGGCAGCATCACCCCCCCGGGTCCCTGCCCGGTGCCCGTCTCTCTCCAGGATGTGTGTGCGTGTGGGTAAGGGGCTCGTGGATGTGCCATCAAAACGCCGGGGCTGCTGGTTCCAATCAGCCCGATCCAGCCACGAGGAAGCAATTAGAGGTTTGCAGCCCGGCCAAGCAGCCGCGTGGGGAATCCAGCCGCAGATCTGCGGAATGGAGGGAGGGGAGAGGGCGGGGGAGGCTGAAGGACATACCGAGCACCCTGCAGTCACTCCGCCGGGCTGGGCATGTGGGGCCAGCTCCAAGAGGGGGAGGTGAATCACCACCTCCCTCCCTGGTACCCCAGGCTGGCAGAGGGGGCAGCAGACCCTCAGTTTGCTCCCTCTGAGCATCCAGGGAAGAGCCAGGAATCACCTCCGCCGCGGCCAGCTGGATCTTTTTTATTTAGCAATTTTTGGGTCTTTCATATAACATTCAAGAAGGAAATACCAAACCCGTTTACTCATGCTGAAGCTCTCAAAAATCTCTTTATCCACAACCTCAAAACCTTGGCCAGGAAGCAAAATTCCCTTCTATTTGGTCTTGACAAACAGGACGTCGAAAATCAGGGCAAAGGCGTGATGGAAGGGACAACTTGAGTCTCCTCTGAGTACCTAGAAACTGCCCCCCTGTCCCTTGCTTTGTCATTTCCCATTCCTCTCTGAATGTCCTGGGACACTAGCTAGGTCACAGCCAGTCTTTCCTCCAGAAAATCAGTGCAAATAAGCTCCCAGAGAGGGGATCTTCCTCCCATCTATGCCCCAAAGCACTGACATCTTCCAGGCTCTGGGTTCAGGAGCCCTTGGACCCTTCCTGTCCTCCTGGCAGCAGAGCTATCCAGGTAACCCTCACTCCTGCATGATCCCAAGGGTTTGGTGTAGGGACAGGGCTCGGGAGCACGGCAGCATTGGAGGGTCTCCAGCTCTTGCAGGGGGCAAAGCTTCCCAGCACAACCTCCAACCGCTCAGGGGTCACACCACGGTGGCACCCACTCACCTCCCCCTGTGCCCACCAGAGTGGGAGGCCAAGGGTGAAAAACGAGCCGCGGGGATGGGAATGGGGATGGGATGGGGGTGGGATGGGGATGGGGGGCTGCAGAGCCAGACTGATGGGCTGAGAGAAACCACCACCCTCAGGAACCGCGCCGGGGGGGGGTTGCACGGGGACCCCGCGGGGCAGAGCGAGCCGGGTGACCCTGGAGAGGGGCAGGAGGGCTCGGGGGGACGAAAGGGGTCGAGTTTCACCCCCCCTTCCCCCCGCAGCAGCGCGGAGCGGGAGCGCGGCTGCGCTTGCGGGCGTGCGCGGGGGCGCGCCCACCGGGAATGCCGCATTCCCGAGCCAGGCTGTCGGGGCGGGAGGGGGCACCGGCATCGCTGCGAAAACCACCCCCGAGCATCCCCCGGGCGAGGGGCGAGGTTCCCCCCGCTACCCTCCCCTCGGTGCGTCCCGCTCCCGGGAGCTGATGCCAGAAGCGCATCCCAGCGGAGCATCCCCGCAGCGGATCCCGGCGCGGTGCGGGCCGGTGCGGTGCCTACCTGCGGGCGCTGTCCGGTGCTGCCCGCTGCCTGCGGGGCTGCCGGCGCTGTCCGGGGCTGCCCGGCGGGGCTGTGAGCGCGCCGCTCCCGCAGTCTGGGCAGGGCTGGGCGGACGGACCCAGCGAATGGGGACCGGGAGGCGTCACTGAGGCTCGGCCCCCGGCCCTGCGGCGGGGGGCGGTGCGGGGGGGGCCCTGCCTCTGCGGGACTCAGACACCCCCCCCGCCCCGCCCCAGGGGCGCGCAGTGATGCGGAGGGTCCCGTTCGCTCCCCCCCCCCTTCCTCTTCCCCAGAAAGGGCGACACATCCCCATCGCCATGGGAACATCGTTTTGGAGAAGGGCTGCCAACCCTCCTCCTTCCCGGCAGCGTGGGAGGTGTTTTGCTGGGAAAGGTTGGGAAGGGGGAAGAAGAGCTTGGCGTGGGCTTTGCTGAGGAGGGGGGCAATGCCATCCCCCCTCACCAAGTGAGTCGAGCTCGGGTCCCCAGCAAGACCAGTCTGCACCGAGTCACTGAAGACCTGCGTGACACAGGTCTCCTCCAAAATGGTGGTGGGAACAGCAGGACACACAGCTGAATCACAGAGTCAGTCAGGCTGGGAAAGGCCTTTAAGAGCATCAAATCCAACTGTTAACCCAGCACTGCCAAGGCCACCACTAAGCCATGTCCCCAAGTGTCACATCTACAAGCTCTGGGTGTGGTGCCACTGGCCACAAACAATCACTTTTAGGTCCAGGGCTGGTGGCAGTGAAGGCACAGGAAGGGTTTGCTCCCCACAGGCTCCTGTCAGCACATGGTTGGGAAGGGGATGAGGAGAGTTGCTTCCACACAGGCAAAATGCCTTTGGATCCAGAAAGCAGCCTTGGAAGAGACCTCTTCCCTGCTCGCAGGGAAGGATGGAGATGACAAGAGAGGCAGCTGCTTTGCGTGGGAGTTTGGGTCCCGAGGCATCCCAGGAAGACACAGAGGGACTCAGGATGGGCTGCCCTGTCCTCACCTCCTCCCACACCCCCAGCTGGGCTCTGCATGGAGGGCTGACGCTGTGAAAGTGGATATGAAAAGTCATATTCTGCTCCAGCAGAACCTGATCCCAGGTGACACTCGAGTGCTGAGGTTTTGCAAGCTGGCTGCACAGGGGTGGGTTTGCTAATTCTACAAAAGCTTGGCTCTGGCTGCACCTGGGTTGGCCCAGATGGGGATGGACCCCCAAGCTGGCCAGGGGTGTGCAGCAGGGTTCCAGTGTGCTGCCATGGGGAGGGAAAGGGCCTGACCCTGTCTGTTGTGGCAGCTGGGTGTCAAAGGCACTGTGTGTCACCGTGGCAGCACAGGGACACGCCACACTGGTGTCCCAGGATGGCCCAGACTGGTGGGGCTACCTATGGATGTGATTAAAGGCCTGGCAAACTGACACAGAAAGATAACAAGACTGGAAGCAGACAGATGCAAGGCAAGGAGACAGACACAAGAGGCACGTTGCAATGTTGTCAGAGTGGAAAAACTGCAAGCACAAGGTCTGCCTCCAAACACAGCTGTGATGTGGGGCAGCACATGTAACCACACACACACACACACACTGGCCCTCTTTACATCCAGCCTCACATCTCCCCCACACCCCCACCCTCACCCCCAGCTATTCCACAGGCAACCAGGGAATTCAAGCTGCAAGGACTGGCTTTCTGGGTTTTTTTTTGCCCAAGTCCCACTGCAAGAGATTTCAGCAGCCTCTCAGCCCCTGGCTGTGGTGCTGTGCAGGCAGGCGTGAGTGTGCAGTTTCTGGGCAGTGCTGGCAGCCAGTGTCCTGCTCAGGCATTTGCAGGAGGCTCCTTGCCGAGGTTCTCCCTCTGGACAGTCCTTTTGCTGCAGATTGCAGCCTGGCTGCTCTCTGTAAACCAGGGAGAAGCAGTGCCTCAGTCACACCTAATGCAGAGGCCTCCGGATGGCGGCCAAAGAAAAGGGTGGGGAGTAAAAATCCCAATAATGACAGGCAAATGGAGAGGGGGGCAGGCAGCTTTTGCAGTGTCAGGTGGCAGTCAGGGAGACACACAGCCAAGAATGAAGAGGGGCAAGAAGGCAGCCAAACAGGCACAGTGCAGCACAGCAGTGCAGACACCGGCAGGAGGGGATGCGGCAGGACAGACAGACAGCAGGCACAGACAGCTCCCCTAGGAGCTCAGATCAGCCAAACTCTCCCCTCTGGAGAGAAAGCCGGGGTGTGTGGGGAGTCCTTGGGGGAGATTCACTGCTGCTGGTGGCTCAGGGACTGTCCCCAGTAGCTGCAGGAGGCAGGGTGGGAGCAGAGGCACTGAGGGGGACCGTGACTTGAGTGTCTGGTGATGCTGCAGCAATTAAAACCTGGCCTTGCCCAAGGACATCCTGCTGCAGGGGACACCCTTCTTCTAGGAGAAAGGTGGATGCACATCCTTTCCCAGAGGAACATCTCTCCCCCGCCCCTCAGCCCACCTCAAACATGGGAATTAGAGGGTCTCTCCCTCCTGCACAGCAGCACACTCTGGGTCCTGCTCACAGCCTGGCAGCAGGATGCCCACGCAGCAACCACTGCTCATTCCTGGGGAGGGGAGATGTCAGGACCCACACAACAGGACCTGGGGGCAGCACTGCTGGGGAGAGACCCCTGATACCCCCCCAGGGCCATTAGGGCTGGGAGTTACGGGGTGAGGGAGTAAAGGAGGGGGAATCAGTGCTATTGATCTGGCAGATCTGGCAGAGATGGCAGCCCCAGGCGTGGCTGGTGCTCACCCCACAGCTCAGCACCCCCTGCACCCCCTGCTCTGCCCAGGCCCCAGCTGACAGGAGGGATGCAAAGGATTCACTGCACCGAGCCAAACCCAGGCCCTTCCCACCCCATCTTTGAGGGACAAGCAAGGGAGGCTGCAGAGGAGCTTTGCCCTTGATTGGAGGGACAGGATGGCCCCTGGGAGCCCGGTGAGGCCCCATGGATGCTAAATGTGGCATGGCCCAGATAAGAAGCCCCTGGGCTTTGTGGCACTGCTACACAGAGCAGGGGTGGAGGAGACTGTGCTCCCCTGATTCCTGCACGCAGCACGGAGCCATGGAAAACAGGGGCAGGCTGGGCTCCTGCTGCAGCACTGGCCTGGGGTCTGCTGGGCTTCCAGCAGCCTGGCAAAGGAGGCAGCAGGCTGGCACAGAGCCCCAGCTCTGACACAGCACACAGGGCTCCTCCTTGGTAGCCTCCACCTGCCTCAGGGCTGTGTCCTGTGCACAGAGAAGCCCCAGAGGCTGAGCACCTCAGCCTAACAGTGATCAGGGGCTAAGAAGTGCCTGTGAGGAAGCAGTTCCAGCCCTGCCAGCAGGAACATCCCTCCCTCCCATCGGCTCCTCCCTGTTTGCCTGCACACTCTGTCCTGTGGCTGCTCCACAGCAAAGTCCTGGCTCTGTGCTCACACCCAGGCAGAGCAGGGGATGTTGTGACCTCCTTCCTGTCGTGGGTCTTCACCTTCCAGGGAGGCTTTTCTGGGAGGCTGCCAGCAGTCAGTGTTCACTACAGGTTATCCTGTATCCACACAATAAATCCCTGCTTCACCAGGCACAGCTGCTTTTCCACCCTGCTGGCATCCACCAGACAAGATCCCAGCAGTGCAGCTCTCCTGCCCGAGCAGAGCAGACTGGTGTCCACCTGGAGGAGTGAGTGATCTCTAGCACAAGGCCACTAAAATCTTCCTGCGAGACACCTGGGAGTCCTTGTGAGATCCAGCCGGGACACTGGGAGCCAACTCAGGCTGGAAGTGGGGGCTGACTGAAGTGCAGAGCCCTTAGTCTGCTCCATCTGCTCCCCAGACTGAGTGGGAAGGGTGTTTGGCTGCCTGCTGCAGCCTCCTCCTCGCATCCTGCCTGGCAGGGGCTGGGTTTTTTTGGGAGAGCTGCTTTCTCCACCGTGCCCCACAAACCTGATCTCTGCCGAGCACAGAGCGAGACTCATCCCCGGGGGAAGGAGAAGCACCTCTGCCAGCTGAGCCAGGCGGGTTTGGCAGGTTAACACCTCCCAACTCAGAGTTTGCAGATCCGTCTCCTACCGGTGGCCAGAGGGCCTGTGTTCCAGCTCTTTGCAAGGTGCCACATCCCACGGGCTCTCCAGATGGGAGTTAACACGGGCAGAGAGCTGGAACTGGGAAAAGATGCCATTTCAAACAGTGAAACTCCCTTTCTCCACCTGTGGCACACCAGCACCTCTTTTAAAACAGGGAGTACCTGCGGGGGCTGATACCAGGTTGGGCAGCACTAGAAGCCCCTGACGGGCAGGTGATTCCCAGAGCAACTTTAAACCCCTTTGTTTTAGGGAAATTCACCCATGTGGGGAAGGAGAAGCTGCTGGGGGCCTCCCTGGAAGGTGCTGGGCAGACAAAGGGCTGTGGAGCACTGCCATGCTTCTGCTCCCCATCCCCAGCCAAGCTCTCTCCTCTCTGTCTCAGGAGAGATGACTAATGCGAGTTACAGAAAACCAAAATAGCTTCCCTGAATTTTCTCTTCCTATCTGCTGGGCCTTAAGGAATGGAAAGTGTTTATTAGCATTCCTTATTCATGAAGAAACCAGTAGGCCAGGGTGGTTAACTCTCAGCACACAGGTTCCTACGGGTAATTCCAGAGAAGAGCCACTGGGAGCAGCTGCCTGCAGGGTCCCCCTGTGCTCCAAGGCAGCTGGGAAGCCTCTCACGCTGGAGAGAAGCAGGTTAAACACAGCCCACACCACTTTCATGGGGGGCAGTGGATCCTCTGTGATTCTATGACAGAAAAAGGCAGTTCTTGCCCCTTTCTAGCAGCAGACAGAGCTCGCTGGGGCTGCCAGGAGGCACCCTGGGCACACACAGAGCATCCCTTGAGCAGCCAGGCAGCTGCTCCCCGTTCTGGGGGTTGTGTCATCGGCTCCAGAGCTCCCTCCTCTCCCCCATTGTTGGAGGGACAATGGGAGCACGTGGTGGGGTGAGGGAGGAAGGGCTTCCCCTGCCCCTCCTGCCCCAGGGACACCCTGCCTGCCCACACCCTGTGCCAGCTCTGCCAGAGAACCTCGGAGAACCCACAACTTGTGACAGAGCTGGAAGCCCGAGTCCCCCACCCCTTCTACTGTCTCCTTCAG